AATGCGTTATTGTAGCTTTTCGGTGACTGCTTGAATAAGTAATAGGGGTTTTTTAGCGAATGAATTTACCAAACTTCAAAATAATTGGAGACAAGTGTTTTGGAGGTTCTGCAGGAATCGCCGGATTTCCTGGCGACCATTTGGTTGCTGGTCGGACACACCGAACTCAAACGACGAGCCCATTTCCCCGCCAAGGGAAACGCAAATGAGTTGCTCATTACGATCAGTGACATATGTGACTCACGTACTCGCGCCCGCAAAATGCACAACAGACAGTTTTTTTTTATTTTTATTTTGTTCGTTTTCTTATTTTGCCTCACATACTGTATTTCCCGGCACAGCGCGACGACTGTAATTCATTTCCCAGCGTCCAGTCGGTCCGGGTCCCAACGACTATACGGGGTTCTTTCTTTCTCGAGATTTCAATGAAAACCGTGCCCGCATTCCCTTTTCTCGAGTCATTCCACGCATTGCCCTGGAAATATGGTGGAACGTGTGCAGCAACGATCCACGATCACTTCTGACGAACACGAATGATATTTTTTTTCTGCTCGTCAACTTCATTATTTGGTGCATTCACGGACTTCCAGTGCGAATCTCGAATTGTTTTTAACGTTTCACAATAAGTCGGAATTACAATGTCTTGCGAGGAGCATAATGTTGGTGATGTTTAATTTTTAAAATTGCATTTGCTGTTTGAACAAAAGAAAATACAAGAAAAAATAAAAAGCCTCCGTCTTTTAGTTTCGGTCAAGTATCCTGAAAAGCGGCTTCATATTAAACTCGTTTCGTATGTCATGGGTTTTACCCGTCGGCGGCTTTTCTGTTTTGTTTTATGATTTACAGGTCAAAAATCCAACAATGTATTGTATTTGTTTGGGATTTCATGATTTTTTCTTTTCACTCGCATACTTAATAGGTCTGCACGCATTCTAACCCCAACCAAATATTTTGATTAATTTTTATGGTAATTGATAAGGTCTGAGAACGGTGTTTGAGTTAATCTTCAAGTTCGGCGGATACTTTGTGCCAATGAGGGCCTATTTCAACATTATCTTGGAATCATTGGAGAACATGCAGGGAATATAGCCAATGAAATAAAGTCTTCAATTGAAAGAAATCGTTGATAAATTTGATAAATGCTAATTCAAAGTATTTTTATCGATCAAACGAGTCTGAACTGACGCAGAAACTTTGATATCTAAATAAAGTTTCACATTGATAACAATTTTAGGCCATCTCTTGTATGCAAGATTGTTGAACAAAAAGTTTTTGAGCAATTCATGGAATGACGCGAGTTTCAAGTTATTTCGTGTTATGCAATAATTTATGTATCCAACAATACTTGGAATGATGCATAATAATTTTTGACTTTTTCTTCCGCTGATAAACCGGCAAATTGAATCAAGCCGGAAGTCATCCCTTAAAAAAATTCCGGATCATCGGGATCATCATGAAGGGATTTGAAAAGGATGAAGCTGCAATAATGTTTCCGCAGCACCGCTTCGCCAAATCATGTTCATCAGTGAACCTACTTCGCTATACGGTAAATTTATACTTGATTTGCGAATTCTATTCCGAAAGCAAAGTGAAACTCTTTTTTTTTTGTTGCCCCCGATGCATATTCTTTCAATTATTAGCTTGATTTGGAAGCCGCATGAATATTTTAAAACGTGAGAATGACAAAGCGTTCTTTTTCAAGACTTTGAGGCAGTGTATCAGTCCGTTTATACTTCTCTCCGAACTTTTGTTTCGCCCCAGCCGTTCACGGTTCCGAAGTACAGTACATTATTTTTGCACAATACTGCTTCACTGTCTCACTGAAGCTAGGAATGGAAAAAAGGACCGCAGAACAGAGAAGAATGAGTGTTGAAAAGGAAGTTGNTTATATTATAATGTATGCATGAGGTCTTGAAGATGAAAAACCTCATGAATTTCTTTTACTTGAAGGAATCTCGCTGATCCTCGATTCCTGTCAAGTTTATATAAACCTCTGACTTTCCTGAGCTAGCCTCAGAAATTATCCAAACCTCGACGCAGTTATTTCTCAGGAAGCCTTGTAGCAATTTTAACAAGACTTCCTTAATTTCCTGACTTTATATTTTATGTTGATGTGAATATCGAAATATATATATATTAAATATTTTATAAAAATCTGAAGTATTTTATTTTTGGGATAACAAGGGATATGGCAAGGTTTTAAGGGTCCAGGGCACATACAACAACTGCCTACAGGCCCCAAGGAAATGGTCAAAATGAAAGGGCCCACAGGGAATTACATGAATATCTGGCCCTGTATCTTGATCCAGAAAACAGACAAACTTGGGATGAGCTGCTAAAATTCGCAGCTTTGGTCCATAATTCCTCAAAGCATGAGGCTCTTCAAGCCTCTCCTTTTGAGATTGTGACAGGGGTAAAACCAAGGACAAATTGGATACCTACATCATAGAATAGAAAAGATCTATCCAATGTCCAGGAATATTATAAAGACAAACAAAATCATTTGTCTGAAATCAGGAAAAAAACTATTGAAGCCATCAGGAAAGGCCAAGCTTTCTATTTGGAAAGACTCAATCTACATCAAAAAGGAAAAGAATATCTGGTGGGTGACAAGGTATGGATTAGAATACATCAACAAGCTACGTATGTAGGTCGAAAATGGAGCCCAAAATATAAGGGCCCATATACAGTCATCAATGTTGTCAATCCTGTCGTCGTCAGAGTTTGCGACAACAAAAATCCAACTTGGACTGACGTAATTCACGTCAGCTACATCCGACCATACGTGTCACGCATGCCGCCAACTGAAAAGCATCCTGTCGATGATGTCTCCGACGATGAGTATATTCCACCAGCCCCTAGCCTTCAAAAACAGCCCAAAAGTACTGTCGCCGAGGTTGGCAGTACCCAAGGTAACAAGGATCTCTCTAAACACACCAAAGATCCTTCAGAGGAACCGCTTGATTTTTCTCCTTCACCATCTCCAAAAGCAAAGCAGAAAGAGGACTTTCATTCTTCTTTTGAAGGGGGTGGTTCTCCCCAGTCCTCTAAAAATTCTGAAAATTTTCAAACTATTTCTCCTTCTATTCCAACTAAAACAATGGCTAATGCAACTCCATTCTCAAGCTCTGAAGACATCTTTGTCTCAGCTGACAATTCTATGCATGAAGAGGAAGAAGAAGTTGATGATACTCTTCCTGCCCAGCAAACTGTCATTGAGCAACCTTCTTTCTTACAGTCTCTTTCCCAAGGAGTTAGAAACCTGA